ACGTAGAAGGATACTGAATCTCTGAAGGATTCAATTGCCCACATGTCCAGAAAAGCTGCCAAAATGTGTTTCTCTTGCAGACGAGGGTCTAGGCTGGGAGCATCACCCACTATTCCGGGGGCCATTAGCGCCCAGGTAAAGGGACCTTACTTGGCGAGCTTCACCCTGACCAGTGGTTTTCCGGGTCAAAGGGAAGCTATTAAAATACACATTTCCCTGATTCCAGCGTGCCGAGAGACCCTTAAGAGTTGAGGGAAGGGGAGACAGAACATTCCAAGGTTTGGAAGTAGCCGATCTGACTTGTCTGAGGTGAGTGTTCTCTCTAAAATTATCTTAGGCATCAGCAGCACAGTTTGTAGGATGACTCAGAGAAAAAAAGTCTTATTCTAATATCCACTCTGTTTCCTAAACATACACACACGCACACACGCCCCTCCATCTCTGAAAACTGCTGTCTACTGTCCGCGAATCCAGGCAGATTTGCTCCTCGGGGCTCAGCAGTTCTCAGTGGTGATTTTGGACTAACGGCGGGGCCCTAATAACAGCAACACTTTCTATTTCTTTACTATGTATTCATGTCAAGCACCGTGCTAGGCATTTACATGCATTACCTCACTTAACTCTCAAACCCTACTGGGTAGGAATTCATTGTTATTACTATTTTCCAAGGGAAGAAACCAAAGCACATAGAGGTAATTGACTTGCCTACTGTCAGGCAAGCAGTAGAGCTGGGCTTCTACCTTGGAGGGTCAGATCCCAGCACTTAAACTCAGAGCCATCACGCTAAATTGCTTCCGTAAAGAATAGGAACGAGTCAAACTGGTGCGACGCACTGGGCAGGTTCTGTGCCTAAAACAGGCATGGGCCATCCAGTCGTGACACGTCTATTTTTAGCACTGCCTACATGTGGCAGGCCCCGTTCTAGGCACTGAGAATGCAGCCGTGATGGGAAGACAAGATCCCTGCTCCTGCATAGCTCACATATTGGTGATGGGAACAGACACAGGAGCAAATGAATGAGCAGGATAATTTTAGAGGATGACACATGCTATGAAGAACATGAAATAGGGGGATGTGACTGGGGGAGGGAGGGAGCACACACATCAGGTGGTAAGAGAAGCTGCACCGAGACGGTGACATCTGAACTGAGAATCAAACAGTAAGAAGTTGCCGGTGTGACTATTCACAACAGCGAACACATGGAAACAACCTAAATGTCCATCCACAGACGCATGGATAAAGAAGGATAAAGAAGGTCTGGTACACACACACACACACACACACACACACACACACACACACACACACACACAATGGAATACTACGCAGCCATAAAAAGAAGGAAATCATGCCATTTCCAGCAACACGGATGGACCTAGAGATTGTCGTACTGAGTGAAGTCAGTCAGACAGAGAAAGACAAATACCATATGATGCCACTTACATGTGGAAATGAACTTATCTACGAAACAGAAACAGACTCACACAGAGAACAGACTTGTGGTTGCCAAGTGGGAGGGATGGATTGGGAGGCTGGGGTTAGCAGATGCAAACTATCATATACAGGATGGATAAACAACAAGGTCCTAATGTAGAGCACAGGGAACTGTATTCAATATCCTGGGATAAACCATAATGGAAAAGAATATGAAGAATGTATATACGTGTATAACTGAATCACTCTGCTGTACAGCAGAAATCAATACATCGTAAATCAACTATCCTTAAATAAAATTAAAATAAAATAAAAGGAAGTTGCTGGCCTTTTAATGCTGGGTAAGAGTATTCCACGTGGAGGGTAGATCCCACATGAAGGCTCCGCATGGATATGAACAAGGCAAGTTCAATCACAGGTCAGTGCAGCTGGAGGATGATGATGGGGGCAGAGGAGGACGGTGGGCGGGGGCAAGAGCTTAGCTCAGAGATGCAGGTGGAAGATGTACCATTAGGGACCAAGGGCCAAGCTAAGAAGCTGGGATTTTGTGCCACAGTGGGAATCCTTTGGTGGGACTGAAGCATCTGATTTCATTTTAAACACTCACCCAGGCAGTTGTAGAGACCAGATAATGAAGGGGCTGGGGGGGTCGGAGTGGAGAGCACAGACCCCGAAGGGAACACTGCTGTGTTCAGGCAACAGATGACTGTTGCGTGGACTGGGCTGATGAACATTAAAGCAAATGGAGATTCTCTGGAGGAAGAGCCAGCAGGACTTACTGAAATGCACGTGGAGAAAGAATGAAAAGTAAGGATAAAGGATGATACCTGGGATGTAGATCTGAGCAAGTGGGTGGATTAACAGTACCAACCCTTCCCTGCTAGGTCCTCCTCCTGTTAGAGCTTCCAATGCTGTAGTTCCTGGGAGGTCTTGATTCAAGGCCCCTTGTCTTCTCACCTGTATTTTCTCCCTGGGTGATCTCATGAACTCCCATGGAGTCAACAAGTCCTCAAGCTAGGGACCTAGAAACCCCTCTCCCTTCCTCGTACCTCCACATCCATTCAATTGCCAAGTCCTGGTACCCTGCGTCCAACATCCATCACATCTCCGACCTCTCTCCATCTTCACTGACCCCATCGCGTCCCACCTTGACTGCGCCCCTACCTGTCTAACTGGATCCTGACTTCCACCATAGCCCCACCCCAGTTATCCATTCACCACGCAATCACCAACAAATCTCATCGTGTTACTTCTGATTAACACGCTGGCCTCCCACGGATCTCGGGGAAAATGTCCCGATGCTGACCATGGTGAGACTGGGTGCCCTGCCATCCCATCTCACACCCTCTCCTTGTCATTCCCTAACCTCCAGTCACTCGGGCCACCTTCACGTCGCTCAAAAATGCCAAACGCCTTCCCGCCTCTGGAAAATCCACACATCGCGCACCCTAACCTAAAAGCACTTTTATGAGAGTCAGTGCGGCCACCTTTAGCTTGTCCTTAAAGGTCACTTTGAATTTCTTTTCAGTTTGATCATTTATTCAGTCAGATGAGAATAAGGAAAGACTGCTCAGCTCAAGAAATCATGAGCAGGGACTTCCCTGGCAGTCCAGTGGTTAAGACTTCTCCTTCCAACGTACGGGGTTTGATCCCTGGTCGGGGAGCTAGGATCCCAAGTGCCTCGCGGCCCAAAACACCAAAACGTAAAACAGAAGCAACAGTGTGACACATTCAATAAAGACTTTAAAAATGGTCCACATCAAAAAAATCTGAAAAAAAAAGAAATCATGGACAAAATCAAACACCTGTCATCTGTGCAGTGAAATCACTGATCTGTACATGCCTGAGCTTATTTCCACTGCAGACTTCTTCCAGGTCCAGTGAATAGCTGTCCAGTTCATTGGGTAATCACTGCGCCAGTGTGGCCTGTGCCTCCTGACATCCCAGTACTCCCCGCGCGGCCCACATGCCCCCTCCTCTGGGGAAGCGTGAGTAACCAACTGCCTTTTCAGGGCCAATCATCCTCTGACCTGTCGGCCTTGCCATATCCCAAATTTGCTATTGATTCATGATATTTTAGAAAACCTGGAGAGCCAAAAGCCTCCTATATAATTCGCAAGACCCTCAATCCAATTAAAAGCTTATAAATCTGGGTAACTAGACCTTATCCTCGAGAAATAAAGCTAGTAGTAATCAACCTACCAACACCAAAGGTCAGTTTCAAGACTCTGGTGCCAACAGTCAGATGCTACTCTTGATACCAAAATATACATTCCTGTTGACCAGTTATTTTATTTTACTTTATCTTTGGCCGAGAGACACGTGGGAACTTAGTTCCCTGCCCAGGGACCGAAGCTGTGCCCCGTGCAGTGGAAGCGTGAAGTCTTACCCACTGGACCGCCAGGGAAGTCCCTTGACCGCTTGTTTTAAAAACAGTGCTTTCTGGAACAAAAGGACGGAAGTGGGTCACAGGCAGGCCTGGCTACAGGCCCCACACATGGACCAGCTTCTGGAGTCCCATATACGTGTTTGCTTGATGAAAGGGTTTCGTGTCGAAAGCAGTATTGCAAACTCTGCCTTTAGACTGTCGGGCTCCCCTTGCTGAAAGTCCTGATAGACACAGAATCATTCCCACAGACAATTTCCAAAGCTGTAAACATTTTATTTCTACTACACGTGAGTGATTCCTGATGGGAATATTAAGAAAGAAGAAACCAGGGCTGGGAAGAGAGAATGGAATGATTGATAGAGCAAGCAGAGCCATTCTGGTCCTGCAGCGTGAGATGGTGGAAGGTATCAGGGCACATGCCATGGTCACTTATACAAGCGAGGCCAAGAGAACCTGGCGGGCTCGGGGCAACCACCGGGGAGAGAAGTGAACAAGAACTCCAGGCCAGAGAAAATCAAACAGACACCAAACACATCGATCATAAACTCAAGGAGGAAAGAAACCCCCTGGATTGCATCTCCCCTGGAACAAAGCCAAGTGCACAGCTAAGAATAGCTTTTCATCTCTGGTGGACTTGAGGGGGGTGGAGCGGTCAAAGGGAAGCGAATCTTCACAACTGTTCACCCCAAGGACTGCTCATTCGATGGAGTCACACGATGCAATGGCTTTAGTACTAATGCCCTTCTAGACAAAGTTCCTGGAGCGCTTCCACGTAGCAGGTTCTCTTTATTGCTTCATTACAGCAAAAACAATTTTCTTAAGAGCCTTTATAGGCCACCTGTAACCTCCAAAACCACAGTGTAATTATCTTGCATGTGATCTTAAGATACTACGGAGGCAAATGGAAGCTGTGAACAAACAGCTGGGGTAAGAAAAAGGTGACGGCCTCCCTAACGGTGGGATCTCAGCACGCCCCTGCTCTCCTCAGGCATTGCCCCTGTCTGGGGAAGACAAGGATGGGGACCAAATCTTGCTTGGTGAGGGTAGGGGATGCTTCAGGCAGGTTAAAGGGCACGGTGAGGTGCGAGGCACTGCCACACCACAAGACAATTCTCAGACACCGCCTGGTCCGTCAGCAGGCAAGTTTCACATCCCCCAGGGCTGGGAGGGCACTTACCGAGCGCTTGTCGGCCTCCGCCCCTTGCTGGCCCTGCAGACATGCCGTGAGCTTCTTGTGTGTGCTGTGGGAGACCTGCTTCACCAGCTCCAGCCGCTTCTCCACCTGTGGACAGAGCAGCGGGTGGGGCTCCTGGGTGAGGGGAGGTCAGAAGTGGGGTCACGGGGCCTGGACAATCAAGGGACAAGACTGACTCAGGTTTCTGCAGAGACAACATCCAATGCAGGAGAAAAGGAGGGGGATCACAGACTCAGGGACTCTCTGCTAACCGTGCAATCAAATGCCTTCAAATGTCTCCTGAAAAACCTCACCCGGACTGGTGTCCACAAGGCAAGGGGCTACCATAAAGGATAAGAGCTGTGTCTCTAAATAGACCGGATGAGCAGCAGTGGAGCAGCTCGAACAGCATCGGGAAGGGCTCGGCTGTGAAAGGGAATATGTCTTTGGCACCTATGAGCTACAGGCCAGCGACAACCTTACCTGGAGAAGGTCTTCGCTCAGAACTTCAGTCTTCTCTGCCCTAAAGAGAAAATGGAGAGACATATCGGTTAAAAAAAAAAAAACTAGGGATACAGTCTCATAATTACTTTCCTCTCTCTCCCCACTTATAGAGAGATTAGAAAAACAGAGACATTATTGGCAGCTTTTTTTTTTTTTTTTTTTTT